TACAGCTATTTTTAAACCTTTCAAAATCGATTTTAATGATCCCCCAACACCGGGCTACGCACATACCATCGATTGGAATAGCTTGCTTCTGGGAACCGTTAATGGGAAGATTTCGGTCGCAGACCTCAGTCGGAGGATCGAGTCACAACCAACACCCACCGGACATGAAGAGCAGACTGCGGATGAAGCGAACATCCTCGTCGATGGTTTGAAGGATATCGCTATGACATAGGTGGACCAGTCGAGCATTTCTTAAACAAGTCTCAGCAAACAAATATTCACATCAATGTACTCACAGTGGAGACAGTAGGCCCGACTGTCTTGGGACCCTTTTTTTCAGACGGAACAGCCCATCTATTCATCTATCTATACTCCAACTGAGTACTCCCAAGTAGTTGGAGTTAGGTGCCGAAAACGCGAGAATTACTTCGTTCAGCAAATGTTGAGGAGAGTGGGTGACTCGGCAAATGTATATTTATATTCCTCGCAAACTTCAAAGCTCGATATTCGCTCACAAGAGCGTGGGCCAGCGCAGATTGACCATACCATTGTAGTCTTTACTTCACTTCTCCTACATCGCAATTCACGAGCATCTGTTGATCCTACTTGGTGATAGATATACTCTAATGAGCCCTCATCATCTTCACTGCTCTGCAGGTCAGTATTGAACTCGAAGCATACTTGGTTCCTCCAGACAGTTGCTCACTCAGAAACATATTCGAAACGAAGAAGGGTATTTAGTGCACGGTACATGGAAGGGAGGGAATATATATAAGCTTCTGAGTTCCCCCTCTTCGTCATAAATTTATGCATCCTTACTCTCGTTATCGTTCTCCACCTTTGCTACCTCAGCCATATCCGTCACCGTCGCTGGCTCCTTCTCAGAGACTTCCGTTCTATCCGACTCCCCTTCAGTTGTGATACTACCGGCCTCAGCACTTCCTGTCGCCGTTGCTTCTGCCTCTGAGGCTGTTGTAGCAACTTCACCAGTACTAGCCTCCTCAAATTTTTTGGATTTCACGTGTTCTTCGACTGGTTCCTGTGCAGATTCTTCTGGGGGCTCCGATGACTGTGGAGACTCTGAGGATTCTGTAGACTCCGAAGCGGGAGATGCGGATTCGTCGGACAATTGAGCAGGGGTCTCTTCACTCGACGTTTCTACTTCGTTGTTCCCATTTTCCTGCGTCTTCTGAGCGTCGGCCTCGGATTCTTTCTCTTCCGCCTCCTCCTTCGTCTCCTCTTCTGCAGACGTCTCTGTTGCTACCTCCTCCCCATCCACAGCATCTTTCTCTGCCATATCGTTCGAGAGTGGAATCGCGGTATCCTTGCCATCTTCCTCCTCCTGTTCAGCGTCATCAGCTACGTCCTGCCCCACAGCTGCAACCTCGTCTTCAACCTCATGCTTCACATCCTCCAGCGCGGTATCTGGAGGGACATTTGTCGATGAGGGGGTTACTTCTAGTACCTCTCGAGCCTCACTGGTACTTTTCTCTTGCGCTTCTTCCGGTGATTCGGCCTCTACCGCTTGGGTCATTACTTCCTGTTCTTCGGGTGCAGGTACAATTGGTTCAATAGGAGATGGGTCATTTTCTACTTCCTCAGGCAGGGAGGAGTCCGTTTCAAACGGTGGGGAGGGGGAGTGGGATGGAGATTCCTGGGATGATTCGAAAGACGGTTCCGAGGATACATCTGGGTTTTGTGATTCGGACGACGTGGGTGGTTCTGCTATCTCGGATGACTTCGACGACTCAGTTGGAGCCACTGCGACGGATGTTTTTGACTCCCCAGCAGAACTCGATTGAGAGTTTGCCAATTGTGCAGACGCTTCAGCTAGTTCCACTTGAGTCCTTCCACCCGGGGACTTGCTTAGTTCATCCACGAGCGCACTCGCCTCACTGAACACCATCGTACCCGTTCTATTCCTACCAAACTTCTTCCCAGAAGTATTACCGGGACTACTTGATTTGGAGCGAGAAAAGTCCCCTGAGCCTCCGGCTTCCAAAGGAGGAGTTATACGAGTGACAGTTGGTCCTGTGCCGACAGCACTGTTGTCCAGAAGGATACCAACGGGCCTAACCTTGTCGTTGAAATGACCATCCTCGTCGTCTTCGAATCCAGGTTGGTCATCGAAATTGACGGCAGCAGCCTCCAACCTGGGTCCCTCCCTCTTCCTTGAATCATCATCCAATTTGCTCAGGTCATTTTCCTTACCCAAACTCGGGATGACCAGAAATTCCCTAGGCACCAATCCCCATCTACCAACCATCTCCTCAAACCTTCTGTAAAGACTACTCTCCGCCTCCGCCTGCTCAAATAAATCCCGATGATGGAAATAGGCGTGGGCGAAAACCCTGCCTAGTCTCCGTGCCAAACTGGAGAAATGGCGTACACTGGGGACGGGAATGGATAGCCTAGAAGGAAAAGCACGAGGAGAATTTAAAAGAGCGGTGGCAGAGTCAATGGTATGGAGGATGTAATCTATGGCGCAGCATTGCTCCATCATTATTCCGCTACCAGGACCGCCACTTTCAGAAGAGGATGAGGAATGGGATGTTGACTCATTGCCATGAGCGACACAAAGATACAGCCATTCGCCGGCTTTCATTTCTGGACATGTCTGTCGCGTACACTCTACTTGTAAAGCAGTAATCAGCGGGTGTGTGAGGTCTTGTGCTAGTCGTCTATCACACATTATTAGTATCGATATTTATGATCTACTTGAGTTCGTCGTAACTCACCTTAACTGTTCATAGATCCAACAATTTTCATCTACTCCCTTCCCGTCTTCTTTGCCTGGTATGCTGGGGATACTGATAATCCGGTCAACATCATGAACGTCCTTCCTAATAACTAACGAGATATATTCTTGCAGCTGGAACGCGCTATCCAGAGAGCTGAGTGAGGGAAGCTGGGGTTCGCTTGCTTCCTTTTCCCCGGTGGAAGCAGTTGAAGCGGCGTATACACCAGTTCCGTAAAAGACATCGATACGGGAGCCACGCATTGGCCTCATAATGGGCGAAGAGATAGATGAAGGGCGAATTGGGTCGGCGGTTGTCATGACTGTCTTTTCAATGTTCTATCTCGTTACTCGAGTGCGGCACCTGTATTGGTATCTTCTCCACGAGTAAACTGGAAAGTTTCGTCTAACCCAACGAAACGCGTTGAAGGACGGAGGAGGAAGGCAATTAATCAAGTTACGTACATGGACTTTTCTCAAGGGTCAAAGCGTGGTTGAAGCTTTCCCGAACTTTAATACTGTTGCTTCGTTCTGATAGGTATTCAAAGTTGCTTTTGCCGGAGCCGCCGTAGAGGCCTTTCGCTTTCGCGAACACACCACCGAAGACTTCTTTCACGATATGATTAGAATATTTGCAATCTCCGCAGACAATGTCCCCGTGGACTCCCTGTATCGTATCTTTTCCCCTTTCTTCATCCTCTACGCCGAGGTGGCTCCCTTCAACTCTTGCCCATCTACTAGGATAGCAGCTGGTCCTCACGACTGGGAAAAATCCAGGGAGACTCGTACAAAAGAAGGAGGGATTCACTTAACGGAAAGAAGTTATGATATCAAACAGAAGAAACAAGAACACGAACTTGACAAAATATGCGATAAACTACGAACTACATTGAACTTCCATTGCACTAGAACAACTGCATATTATGACCCTTGATTAGATTTCTTCCCCTTGGCTCTGCTCGGGCCCTTGGTCCTCTCCTTGGTCCTCTCCTTCTGCTTCTGTTCGCAATTATTGGCGGAGGCTATGAACTCTCCGTGAATGTAAGCCGCGGCAATGTGTTGCTTTCCCTGAGAACTGAGAAGCACGGGCGAATAAGCGGATGTGGAGTGGAGGGGAATGTTATACGCCGATATCGATATTTTGGAGACCTATGGGTTTTATGTGACAGAATACAAACAAACTAGGAATCCTGCACTCAATGAGGAGGTCAGAGTAAAGTAATTATAATGTGTATGTGGACCCGGCTGCAAGAAATGCTCGTTTACAGGGAGAGGAACGGAGCATAGACTAACTAACCCTGATTGCTTGCGAGATTTGGACGCCTGAATACTTAGGTTTTTCTGTGAGACTCAGAATCAATCGCTGTGACAGAAATTCAATTAAACAAGTAGTACCAGATAGAGGATGCGTTTTACGTTCCAAGTTCCAAATCGGAATTCCCCGCTTATAGCAATATGCGTCATGCTTTCTTTTGCTTCACTTCCGTAGACCCGATTATTTTATAAAGTCTGAATCCCATGTCGACGGCCATCATCAACGGTATAACAAAGAACGGGATGTAGCTCGAAAGGAGGATGATTTGCTGAGCTGCGGTCATCCTTGGCTGCTCTTTGAGGATGTAGAATATGCATGGGAGCGTAGTCGTAGCCGTTGACGCGCCGTATGCCAATATCAACACGTATATTGAATGTGAACCTACGACGAGAGGGTCGCGTTCAACGTTTTCGAAATATTCTTGCTGGGAACGTACCATTCCATAAACCTCGCATTCCAAGGAAAAATGTAGGAAATTGAAATAGCCTTACGGAAAAGTACATGTCAAGTGGTAAGCAAAACGCGCTATGCGACGTGAACGTTGTACTCACGCTTCAAGCCATGCGAAGCACCCAAACCAAACCAGTTCGCCGCTCATATCTCCTCGAGCAGCAGCAGAAATCAATGGGTCTGCCGAAAAGTTGATATACCACTGGCGTAGGGCCAGTAAGAAGGTAGGTAAATAGGCTGACGGGTACAGAACCTGAAAGTCGAGCAAGAGTGAGGCAGGTATATGTATCTGCAGAAATGATTGTGAAATCAATTACAAGAGATAGTGACAGAAGACATACGTACCAGGAAGAAACAGAAGTATAAGAAATCTAGAGGACGAGAAGTCAGTGGAACTCGAACCATGGTGGACAAGAGGCAAGGGCGATTCAGATCGGGTACCATGACAGTCGAGTCTACCTGCTTACTTCTGACCCTTTATTTCCCTCGAGTTGTTATGGTTCGATGGCGTAGTTGGTTATCGCATCTGTCTAACAACGAGTCGCACAGAAGGTCCTCAGTTCGAACCTGAGTCGAATCATGTTTTTCTATGTCCCGTGTATGGTGAATATTTTCTTTTCAAGGTGTTCCCTTCCAAATTCTATTGCACCAACTCAGCAAGCCAATCCATTGGCGAGGCGAGAAAACAAATTAAACCACGTAAAAACATCACAGTAAGAGCTATGTTTTAGAGTTGGGAGTAACGATATATGAGTTATCTACACTAATTGTACTATACTTATATCTTACATCTAATTCGGTCCTATTCCGATTCCTTATTCCGGGTTGAGAAGGGATTTCCCAATTGAACCAACGCCCTCGACGGATAGCGCTCGCGACCTTCCATCGCCGAACGTATTTGTTTGAATATGATCTCTTCGTCCTGGACTCTACGAATCAGAGTACATCCAACTCCCTCGAACTCCACCTTCCCCTGCTTTCGAGCGACTATAACCCCCAAAACCCGACAGCGCTCCTTCCCCTTGCCTTCCCCCATTGAATCCTTCCCCGATGTTGCCTAAGCCCAAGACCTTCGCTAGCCCTTCCCACACACCCCTCTCTGGTGCCGGCTCGATCCCGTTCACAGTGTGTTTGATGATCTGCGCATTCAATGGAGAGAAGGTATACGTAGACTTGACTTCCCACTGTCCGAGAGCACCACTGACGCGAGAGGTACCTGTGACTCGGAGGGAGATGTAGAGAGATTTCTCCCTCTTGTGTCCAGAGTTCGTGGTGTGAGGGTCGTCAAATCCTTCGACTGAACCAGGTGACTCGTTACCTAGTTCAGGGTCTGATTTTGGGTTTAACGGTAGTGGAGGTGTCGTTCCTGAATCCGAATCCGATTCTGATGACTTGCCTCCGGGGACCGAAACAGCGACCTTGACCAACGTCACCCGTAAGTCAGAATAGAGAGTGTTGAGCGTGTGTCGGACAAAAACTGCGGAAGTTAGGTAGAGCGGTTTACCTGAAAAGTACGTTGAGCAGCTGAAATGACTATGTAAGGGCATTGACGGATACAAAACAAATGAAAGATTAAGGAAAGTATGAAGTACGAAGTGCTCCGTAATATCACAAATAGAAAAACTCGCGTCGTAGACTCACCATCCAACGTTAATTTTTCCGGAAATGGGTGGGGAAGCGGTGAGGGAGGAGTGTAGGCTAGGCGAATACGTGAGGAATATATCGGTTCCCTCTCGTGACGTTCTTTGCCTTTTCCATTCGTTTGTTTCTCCGCATCCTTATTTATAGGATGGGGCGAAATATGTAGGGGTAAAGGGAGATGAGGGAGATGTAAATTGGGTAAATGAGGTAAGGATGGAAGGGAGGGTAATGCAGGAGAAGGATAGGCGTCGCCAGTTTCTGGGTCCCAGCTTGTCATTAAGCCGGTGTTAAAGAACGTAGGGAGGGTCAAGCGGAGAATATCGATTGTGCGGCCTGAAAAAAGCATATCAACTTACTTCCTCCTTGTTTCAATCGAAATGTAATTTGATGACTGACCTGTACGTAGCTCCCATTCCGCATCGGAAAGCTCCTCAAGTCCAGGCTTGGAGTTATCCTCGTCATGCTCAGGGGGCGTAGAATATTGGAGATGGGAAGTATTTGGATGTGTGTCAGGAGGATTGGCGTGTCGTAGACCAAGACCAAGACCAGGATCTCCTTCAGATGAGTCCGAATTGACATGACTTGAATCTGCACTTGAACTGCTCATATGTCGAACACCTGAGCAGGTATTGCGCGCACACAGGGGCTCGTGGTATGAATGCGAGAATAGGCTACATGTTAACCTTTGACTTGTGCAAGCGGAATGCGGTGATACTGTGGAGTTGGGAGATAAAAAGGACGGTATACCAGCGACTACCTGTGCCAAAAAAGGCACAGCTCTGGCTGGTTCGAGAGTTCGCTTGACTCGGTTGAGTCGGGGTATCATTCAACCTTCTTTTGTTCTGGCACTGGATGAGCGATGGTGGACTCTTGGAAGAGTCCTCAATGCCAGGATTTTGAAAGTGACCTTTCCAGATTCCTAATCTCGAACGTTACAGGTTGGTTGCAGCGTGCAAATTCAGGAAAAATCGGTGAACACACGCGTTGCTTATTTGTCATGAAGATGATGTCATTTGGCGCCCGACCGACGCGCCAATATAAGGAAAAACACCACATGTGAGATTCGCCACTTCCAAGACATGAGAACCATCAGAAAATTCCGCCACGAATTCATCATCCAAGTCTTCGCCTTCTAGATCGTAACCCTTCGGCTCCACCGTTTTGAGGCAGGGCAGTTGGAGAGATTGCCAATCTTTCGTATTCAATATAGCTTCGGGGCACAGACACAATGTTGTCATGTTCGATGAATATTTCTTTTCAAATTCAACATGGCCTAGGTAACGAGTGCGAGAGAAAGTGCCCAGCGTGAATTTTTTGAGCAGAGGCATGCTACATAGTAATTCGCCGAGCCCAATACCGACGGTAGCATTAACACCACCTCGGTAAGGTGCGAGAAAAAAAGTGAAGATATCGACGGTATGCAGGATCGTGATAGGGTACCGACATGTATCATAATCCATGGAAGATTTGCAACTTCGGAGACGATCTAAGTAATTCGAGTGGAAGGCCTGCGAGCGAGTGGTAGGACAGCATTCGTAGGTTTGGAAAGAGGGCAACCCCCTCAATCGGAGGCTGCTTTTTCACCAGCGGTCCATGTAGGAGTCCCAATCGACTCGGAGATCCTCTCGGGAAAATCTGCGCCCGCTCGAATGGTGTTGGAGGAACTCATCAAATACCGCATGAACCAATGAATGCTTGTCAAGAGCTCCGTGAGATTCTTTTAATCCCTCGTTCAATTCCTCGTTAGAGTTGTCATCAGATCCCTATCAAAGTCCTCAAATGAATTCTCCCTCCCTCTTCTTAGACTACCTTCGCGAAGAATAAAATCGAGGGGTGTTTTCCCCGATTACTTTAGATAGTGATGTAATAATAGGAGTCTTTGAGGCTTTTGAACAATATTGCGGAGGGAAATCGAAACAGAAGACCAGAGGAAGGAATAACCCAAGACCACTTTACGCCAGAATGAACAGACCCAGGATCGGATTGTAGGGCAATATAGTGATTTTCCGTCACCCAGCACGAGAGAATAGAAGATTAAACTTTGTTCAAACCTGTCAGGAACATCACGAATGTAGTTGAAGAATATCATGTAGAGTATGTCAGGAGGGAGCTTCCGAATGGGAAACAGGAGCGCGCGTGTATCCTTCATTGCTCGCAGGAGAGTTTCTCGACCTTTCATTTGTTCTGCGTTCGAGGCTTCCTGGCCAAGGTCTCCAAGGCTGGATTCGGCATTGGACTCCTAGGAATAGGTGGACTTTTGTAAGCTCTTCCGTGGAGGTAGGGACGTATCCAGTTCGGAGTCGGTCATCGATGATATCAATTAAGGATTGATGTATGTCCAGAACCGTTCTTTCCGATGTGAATTGCGCTGTAGCTGATGAAATTCAAGTAAGCCCTTCAAGGTTTTAAACATCGACTAAGTGATATTTTTGAAAGGATGACGCTATGTGGCTATCAGTATTAAGTGATCATAACACATAGAAATCGTCTGAGATGTTACTTGAATCCGTTGATGATGTTTGAGATTTGATGATGGTCGTGGGTGAAAGGGTTTTTGGGCGTTGGTGGCGCTTAAAAAAGCGAGCCGGCACGGTCCATAAGCACTCACTCACCCCACTTCCAATCTGCAAGGGAAGTTTGACTTTTAGCTAATCAGGAATTCATCTAATCCATTTCTCGGCCATTAGATACGATCATTCCCTTATGCATAGAGAGTTTTATTTACTGAGACAATCATTTTTTCCTTTACTATATTTTCTAGCCACGAAAAGTTCACCCATCAGGCCTCAGTTGTGAGGGCGGCCTGCATTATCTGTGCGCTGTTTAATCGCAGAAGGTGATGGCAAGATTGACCTGTCATGAAGTACATACGAGATAAATTTATGTGTATCAGTGATCAAGATGAAGGACTGGTTGAAATCTAAGCTCACATTATCAACTTCGCATTGAACTTGGTCTTGCGTGTCGGTAGGCACTTTCAAGGCAGTAGTGCAGTCAATATCAGGGCCTAAAAAGTATTTTGAGCATCAACCAAGAATGAAGTTCAAAAGTTGACCCACAATCAGCTCCAGCACCATCACAGCCGTTGTAATACCTGAAAAAGATTGAATATGATCCAACTCCAAAAGATGACAAACATAACTCACTCAAATGCAGTACCAACCGAGAAAGAGTGGCTATACCATTTCAAAGATTGAACAAGGCTTGACACTCGATGAGAAGAGTTGAAACGTACGGAGGAATCAAAGTGATATCGGTACTAGAACCAGATCCAGGTGAAGTGGGATTGGCGAGAGTGGTCTCGATCGTGGTGCACCCCTCTCCATTGTCACCACAACCTACATCATCCATGGTTAGTGACCAAAACAAACACTATGTTCAGTTGAAAGGCTGACCGATGTCAAGGTAGCTGAGCACAGAAATGTCCACTGAGCACACAAAATGTCAAAGAGCTCAAAAAGGCTCACGCAATAGCAGCTTCCAGGGGGCCTATAAACGCATTATAATCAAAAGCCGGGGCACTCGAATTACGATGGTACTCACCATTGGAGGTGTAGGCTTCCCCAGTTGACAATGTCACTCCGTTTGCCTTCAAGGTAGGCTGTACCCAGATTAGCAACCAACTTTTCCCATGAAAAAAGAGAACGCACCACCCCAGGAATGCCGCATCTGAGACAGAGTTACAACTTCAAGCATCCGTACTCCAAAGAGCGGAAGCGAAAACACTTACGAATTCTGGAAAGTGACAGTATGGGTCTCCGCCTGTGTTCTGATAATGAAAACAGCAGTGATAATGGCACCAAATTTCAAAAAGGAGGACATGTTGATCATATGGTAGTGCAAAGGAGCTAGGGATATAAGCAAACAAATCAGTTGAAAGCTTGACTATGCCTGGATTTTGCTTTGGGTTTTTATACCAGACGGACAACAGACAACAAA